AGGACGGTTTCACCTGAGTTTCACTCACCTGCATGCAGCAGGCACTTCCAGTTCACCCTCAAGTTCTAGTTCACACTTAAAGATGGCTGGCTTGAGACAGCGCAAGACGGCCCAAATCAGGTCCCTGGCCCACTTAGGCTCGCCTTAGCAGAGCCCGGGGTTGGCTGAGCCTTCTGGTGTGTAACGGGATCCCCGTCCTCATCTGCGACAGGCACAGCCCACATGATGAGCCCTGGGCCATCAGGGGGCCTTCCTGGCCTCCCCAGCCCTGCACTGTCCACTTGACTTTTAGCTCTACTCTTGCTGTAGCCTAGAGGCCCCAGCTGCCTTCCCCTGGCCCCTGTCTTGACCGAGGGAAAATGGTACCAGAGGCAGGTACAGGGGCAGCTTGCCCTGGGGCCAAGGGCCTGAGACTACACCTTGGCTTTGTCCTTAACTAGCTGTGTGGCCTGGGGCAACTCCTCAACTTCTCTGTCTCTAGTTCCCCAGGGAGATAAGGATAATAGGTGATGTAGGTGTGTGTGAGATCAGATGGGCCTGGCACTTCCAACTCCCTGGGTCAGCTGTGTTTATTTACTAGCACTTGACTCATCAGCTTATCCTCCCTTATCACTGGGAGCCAGGATTCTTGGTGTAGGAAACAGAGATAGACATCTAAGTTTGAAAAGGTTAAATATCTCCTAACTTAGAATTAAAAGCTTCAGCACAGACTCATGATATATTTTATGTTAAAATTCCCTTTCTTTCTTTCTCTCTCTCCTCTCTCATACTTGGATGGAACCCAGGGCTTCCCGGTATGCCAGGGGAGCATTCGACCATGACACTGCACCCCGGGGGCCCCAAATTTGTAGTTCTTCACTCTGTTAACTTGAAAAGTCCTGGGGAAAATACCTCACCAGTCCAAATGAGTCTCCCTGGCTTCCTGATTATGCCAGATACTATTTCTCACTTGAACCAGGAATGGTCGATGCCAGGTTTCATTTGGGTTTATTTTTTGGTACTGGGAATCGAACCCAGGGGGTGTTTCACCACTAAGCTACATCCCTAGCCCTTTTTATTTTTATTTTGAGACAGGCTCTCACTAAGTCTCTTAGGGCCTCACTAAGTTGCTGAGGCTGGCTTTGAACTTTCGATCCTCCTGCCTCAGCCTCTCAAAGTTGCTGGGATTGCAGGCCCAGCAGTTGTTTTTATTTCTTATTTTGAGACAGGGTCTTGCTAAGTTGCCAAGCCTGGTCTGGACCTTGTGACCCTTCTGCCTTAGCCTCCCAAGTTGCTGGGATTATAAGGGTGTGCCTCTGTACCTGGCTCAGTTTCTCTTGCCAGTGTGAGGGCCTATGCCTAAAATCCCAGTGGTCTGGGAGTCTGAAGCAGGAGGATCACAGATTTGAAGCCAGCCTCAGTAATTTAGAGAGACCCTGCCTCAAAATAAATAAAGAGGGCTGGGCAATATACAGCTCAGTGGGAGAAGACCCTTGGGTTCAAGACCTAGTACTGGAGGGACAGAGGGAGAGAGGGATGGAGGGAGGGAGGGATGGATGGAGGGAGGGAGGGAGGGAGAGAGAAAGTTAGTTAGAATGGCCTAGGAGGCAGCAGGGGAAATACTTATACATCTGGCCAGGAGCCAGACATGGCCCAGTTCCAACCCTGGCTTCAAGGCCAGCCCTATGTCATGCAGGTCCCTTAACCTTAGTTTCTGCATTTCTCAACCCAACACAGGCTTGAAGCACTGCAGCATCACCACATTTACATAAAGAGATTTTCAGGCTTATGTAGCCACAGAAGAGTCCCCTCGAGTCTGCCGTGGGCGTGAAGTTAAACACGAGCAACACAACTCGTTTCCCTCTGGTGTCACCTTTGAGTCTGACTTTCGTGAGGCAGATCCATGCCTCTCCATGCAGCGTCATTTGCTGAGCCACTAAGTCACCCACAGTCACATCCGTCAGTCCTTACAACCCCCCACAGGACCACTATTGACCCCATTTTACAGATGCAAAACCTGAGGCAGGGGAGGTGGCCGGAACTTGTCCAGCTGAACACAGGCCAGCCTCGCCCACTTGACAGCCCTTTCTGGAAATGGTCCTTGTGCTGCATCGCTTCCTCGACTGGCTACCGCTTGAGCGAAAAGAATGCAGCAGGGCTGGGGACGTGGCTCGGGGTTAGAGGACTGGCCCAGCAAGCCTGAGGCCCTGGAAAAAAAAGGGGAAAAAGGAAAAGAACTCAGGCCCCAGGATCTGGCAAACGCGGGTCGCACACTAGCTCGGCTGCTTCATACACCTGGGTCCTTGCTTCCTGTCCCGGGGCCTCGTTTCCTCACATACAAAGGTTGACGACAGCACGACATTCACGCTATTAATGCACCAGAGCCTCCTTATCTTTTCACGGTTTTCCTCGAAAGGGTTAATCTTGTGAATCACATAGAGGGTCCACAGAATGACTCAGTTCTTAGAAGGGGGCACTGGGAAATGCTGCCCTTGAACACCCAGGGGCCAGCCTAAGCTCCGTGGGGACAAGGACTTTTTCACACTCGCCATGCTCTTCTCTAGGAGGGAGCACCATGCCTGACACACCAAAGAAAAGCACAGTCTGCTGGTGGGATGCGCGTGAACATGAACTCCAAAGATCGATTTGGGGGAAGGGGGCTAAAGGGGGTTGAATCCGGGGGTGCTTTACCACCCCTGAGCCACATCCCCAGCCCCTTTAATTTTTATTTTTGAGACAGGGTCTCAAGCAACTGCCGAGAGTCTCACTTAACGCTGAGGCTGGCCTGGAAGTTGCGATCCTCCTGCCTCAGCCTTGGGAGGCCCTGGGATGACAGGCATGTGCCAGTGTACCCGGCTGAAAGATCAAAATGGGAATCTCACAATTGGAAACAGCAATGCCAGCCGGGGACAGAGCTCAGTGGTAAAGTGCCTGCATGCACAGGGCCCGAGGTAGACCTTAATAGCTTTTGTTATTATTTTAACTCCTTCCAAACTATTTTCAGTCCAGTTTTGTAATCATGCACTGTATAACTACTACATGTCAGGCATTGTTTAGTCGGTGCCAAGATACAAGGATGATCATATTTATTTATTTATTTTCTCTAGTACTGGGGATTGAACC